ATATTTGTGGCTGGTGACGGACGGGAGATCTGATTATTGTTTCAATCTTCCTGTCCATCAACAACTTGGTTCGTACCGACGGCGAAATAATAAATGAAATTTGCCTGAGAGATGATGAGACTACTTTCTTTGGTTTTAGGCAGGAATGAGATTGATGCGAGTGCAGGGAAGAAGAATTCTCATCTCGTCCAACCAAATAACTCTCTTGGGATGGATGGATGGGACAAAGGATGAGATCTGATTCACGATTTCTTATAAAATATCCTTAAATTCATTATTAACCAACCAGTGTCGGTCGGTTCACATTGTCTGGGAATGAATGTAATGGAATACAGTTTGGATCGTAATGTAATAATAAAAACACGATTTTGGTTAGGGTTGATTTGTTACGCCATTCAGCCTGATTTTTGGAGAGAAATAATAAGATGGACTTTTCCAATTTACTTTTCCCATTATTGTGCCAAATCAAATGAAAAAGGAAGGTTGGTGATGAAATTGGAGAGTAAACAGTTCAAAATATTTATCCGTATTTGCGCAGAATGTCGTTAATCTGTAAAATAATGACGCGAAGGCACTGACACCACACCACCAACAAGGTGACCGATGAGATTCGCAAAAGCTTTTCACTTTTGCATAGTCGTAACTGTCCGACGTGGATTAAGATTAATCAGCATTTAATGCATTTTCTTTCACACTTGGATCATACCTCAAATCCATGTGCGGTAAGTTTTCGCAAAGATTGATACACTTCTTTTTAAATTATTCGTTCCACTCTGCAGAATTTGCCTGCAGATCGGAATCTTCTTCTCGCCCACAGATATTTAATCAAATAAAATTCATATCTCTAAAACCATGAAGGGGTTGGACGGATCTTGCTCCCGTTTTGTAGGATAACCACAATTTTGCGTGTCAAAACGAGATTTAAACCGGACTCCGGTTCGATTTCAAGTCAACGTGTTCTGTTCTTGTTTGTAATTTTATCTATTACAATATGCTAAACTCTGGTAAAAATGCTTCTGATTGTAGACTAGTTCTAAGTATCGGGTTGCGTGATGAATTCTTCGTTTACAAAATATTAGTTTTCTTAAGCTGGTTTTACACATTTGCAAAAATATTGCAATTTGCAAAAATATGTAGGAAGTAAATAGTTTAACTTTTGCGAATTTTTCGACGTAGCCGGTACAAAATATAGGTTTAAGAACAGATTACCTGCTAAAAACTTTTCAGACTGGACAGTTTCCGAAACAATAAATTATCCTATCCTTAAAGGTTTCACTTGCAGACTGAAACTGCAAAAAATATGCCAGTCTTCACCACAATCGGTGAACCGTTCCATTATGAGTTCACATTTGTACTTCTGATCACCTATCACGTTTCACTTTTCTCTCCACATTGCCTCCCTGACTCTCGGTTCGTTGGAGTTAATTGACAGAAAACAGTGAAGAAAGATCGCGTAGCGAGAATGAGAAGGTCTTAAAACCGAAGAAAAACACTCACTCTGCTCCAAAGTAACATGCACCGATATGCAATTAGCTTGGTTTCAAATATCACGAGGTCTTTTTCTCAGTCTTGCTTCTATGTACAATTGCCCGTTGTATTATTAGCAGCCAAGTTAGTAGCACAAAATGAGAGGATAATTACACCTCGTCAGTCATCAAATCAAAAAGACCTGATTGCGTAGCACGGAAAACAATTGCCAATAATTGGCACCTGCAAGAACTCGACGAATTCTTTATTCCCCAACGATATAGGAAGTTATACTTGAAGAAATACTATCAATTAATGTGGCCAATCATATATAAATATTTAGGAAAAGAGTAATCGTTTACACAGCATAGAAATTTTTGTTAAAACGAAATGTATAGACACTGCCCTTATATTTTCGCACTATTGCTTTGCACTTCACTCACAGTAAGTATTTTCACAGTTGGCTAACAGACTTTCATTCTGACTTGAAACCAATTAAGACGCACTTCTAATTAGTTCGTAGGTATATCGTGGAAGAAGATTCAGTACTGTATCGCATCGTAATTAGCGTACCTCTGAATTGATGATATGCATTGGTTAAAGAAATATGGCTTCGATTCGAGTACCTTCTCGTCACTTATCGCGGACAAGCCCCAGATCCAATTTCTTCTCTCGTTGGCACTGATTGATTTAGACTGATAATGCATTGGTCAATGAACGATAGGCAATTTTATATTGCTGATATTTTTAATGAAGGTACATATATGCAAGCTTCACTGCTTATCACGTCTTAAATCTTACCAAAACTTTGCTGCATCACAGTAATAAACTCACACTTACTGTTTTATTGACTTGGGCGAGAAGTGATCACTTCTTCTTCTGTTCAGCAGGTTTGTTTTAAAATAATAACGAGGAGAGGCTACCGGACGGAGGACACTGTCGACCGGACAGAGTGCTGTTCATATATACATAAAATGATTTTACTATACTAACTCTCTACCAAAGCTAAAGGGAAATTAATGTAAATAATGTATATTAAATTTTTATTGTTTTTTTTTCTCTCCTTGTTCAAGATCTTCTTGGTTCATTGACAGACAGAGACCAAGATGTTAATTTTGTCAAATCGAAGTCAGCCCATTCAGACCAGAGTACTTTTACGGGCGAAAGCTGAATCTGGCCAGACAGGGTTGTAAAGTTTCATAAAGTTGCGTCAACGTCTCATATGAGGCAAAATTATGCATTATTTTGCACATAAAAGCGCAACATGTGTATTGTGTAATATATACATACGTATGTAAATGTACATATCATGTGGAACTAAAAGGTAAAGTGAAAATCAAACGTGTACTTGAATGACTGATTTGAGAAGTTGTTTGGATTGACGCTTTTGAAATTGACTAAGTAAATGTATTATTTTATTTAAATTGACAATGACTTTTTTCTTGGGGGAAGTTTTTTTTCTAAAATAAAATATTAATTCACAAATCATACGTGGTAATTCGGACAATTTGAAATGCACACACAGACGCCTGACCAACTCTCCCCGTGAAAAATTATCTTGATGAACTTGAATCACAAAGAGACCATAAAAGTCAATAAAATAATCCCGACGTCTCCAATTTGCTCTTAAGATCAAGTTCGTCAATGTCTGACAGGAGAGAACTAAAACCAACTCATCATGCCGTTTAATGGGCTCAGCCTTTGGTTTTAAGTCTTGAGATTTTTTAGCATGAGACAAAAAACATGCTAGAATTCCTGATCCAGTGATGAGATAGCAAATTCGGACATTGTAAATCGTAATAAATGTTCAGATCCACCAAGTAGACAAATGCTCAGGGGATACATATTTACATAGATTTGTATTGTTTATCGATTCATCTCGATATACAATGAGACAATAGTTTTAAAAAATCCGATTTTATATCCAAGATGACTCTGATTAAATGGAAATCCAATTGATTTGCTGGTTTGTCAACTACCTAAACCCAATCCTGTCGAGAAATGGATAATCATGCAGAAAAATCGTTACGAAATGTTCGTCTCATTTCGAAATTTGAGAGACTTTTTTATTCCCGTATCAGAAACAACACGACTCGTATCGTGTAGGACAACCGGATTTACCAGAGCCCAACGCACCGACAGATTGTTCTTTTGTAATTTAAAATATGGAATCTACATAATAATCATCATCATTATCATCAACTCATCATCCGAGTGTCAGACCAGTCACTCATGGCAGAAGTAGCCCCACAATTCCATTGCATTTGCACAGAACAAGTGAGTGAAAGGACAAAAAAACGCTGTTTGCTTACCCAACCTCATTCCCTGCCTATTCTTCTTCCTCAAAGTAAAAGACGCACGTATGTATATATTCCTTCTTCTTCCTGGGTGAAGTTAAAGTAATCCCTGGGTTTTAGTTTCCTATAATCTGCTTTCAAATCACGTAGCACCCAAGAAGAGGTGAGATTCGTGTAATGTGCTGTGCGTTGGTTGGTAGTGCAGCCGTGCAGGAGTGAAATTCTTTAAATGTGTGGACAAAAAAGTGAACTAAATCATTAAATGAGCTGAGAGGAGAGCTTGTTCGTTAAATAAATTTAGGTAAAGCATACTAATCATGCTGCTCACAGGGCTGTGTGTGCGAGTGGTCATACAGTGATAACGAAGTGAATGATGCTTTTACGTTGCATCCTTTTCGTTGTACTTTCCAATTAGTTGGCTAATTTTTTCGCATGTAATTATTTGCATTAAACGATATCTCATATGCAGGTCTTTGAGTTGGAGGTGGCTTTGCTGATTTTGATCGTAATCCGAATAGCGTTGAATAATTGATCTAGTACAGAGTTAGGAGGATTAATCAGATTGGGTCGGGTTGTTATGGGCGGTGGGAGCTGCTAATTTGTAAAGGGACAAAAAATTAAGCCTTCGTTCGATAAGAATTGAAATTATTTTTACGATTATTATGCAAATTACGAGTGGACCAGCGAGTTGTGGTGACGGTACATGTGTAAAATTGTGATTTGGTGGTCAGAAGACATGGAAAATCAGGTTCCACTTTGCTTGTCAGGCCATAATCGCGTTGGTTTAAAAGAGACCGTAATTTTTAGTGGGTTCAGATAATTTCGTGGTAATGTCGGAATGATTTTGCACCCCGCAGGGAGTCACATTTCTTGAGGAGGTTGTAATAATAAGAGTGATGGTGGTCCATCTCTTAATGTGTATCCGTTATTTAACGTTCCTGGTGAAATTTCAGGAATAAAATGAATATGTGTTCATGCAGAAATCTCCCACGCTTTGAATATATGTAGATAACAATAAAAGTCTTCATCTTATGCCGTATCCATGTCTGCTGGGGAGGGAGGGCGAATTTTGGTTTCTTAATGGCCACTAAATTAAGACGTGACAGAATTATGAATGAGTAAGACAACAAAGCAATTAGCCACAGGTACGAAAATATGAACGCAATACAGCGAATGTGGAATCAAGGTTTACTACTTTTGGTTCGTGTAATAAAGAGAATGCAGATGTTGTTCATATGTAAGAAATTACATAAGATATTTATTCGTTCATATGTACATTTACTGGAAATGTTGTATTCCAGTTATCATTTGCTCTTACACTGAAGACACAATTAGCTCGTGTTTTAATTTTAAAGCATTAAAAATTCACTAAGAGAAATTTGAAAGCTTGAACAATGACTTTCCCTGTATATTTTCGGGTTTGTGGTATTTTTTTGTTGGTAAATTGTGTCGCCAATATACAAGGCCAGCTCACGTTTTACTTGCCGTCTGACAAAGTTTCTGAAGGTGCGTGTAACAGTCCTCCTCCTGCAGTTGCTTCAAATTTGAAAACAAGTTGGGTGAGACGCGGTTATGAAAGATACTTATTTTTTTGGCTTGTCAGCTTATTTAATTACACTAAATTGTATACTTACTATTTAGTTAAATACGCCAAGGACGTATTACATTACGTACGGAAATAAGGCAATGGTTCGTCGATATGCCGAAACATTTCTTGGTCGTCCCGCAAAATCGGTCGATGAACTGGACACTTTGTGCCTACAAACTCATTTCAACGGGAAAAATGTGTCAACTTTTGCTTACGAAAATTTGACCCTAGAACAATCATGCACTTCAAAAACTAGTGGAATTATCAACTGTTTTCTACAAAGCTGGAGTTTCGACGTTAATACCACTGCGATCTGTAACACCTTTTTACTATACGTAATAGAATTATCAGGAATAATTAAAGTAGAATAATTTATCTATTTAGACACTACAACCGAAACCGTGGTGTACACCGATAACGCGAGTGCAATTCTACTCGTGCGGTGCGTCAATGGCGAGGTTCGGGATTACAAATTGTTATCAACTACCCCAACGATAAGTGCTAAAACGATTGAGGACGTCAAGAAGAAAGTAGCGGAACTTGGATTTTCTACTTTGTACTCGACAAAACTTAACTGTGAAGGGAAATACGCTATTAAAACGTAGAGAAGCCGTTTTATTGAGAATTTACTCAATTCGTAGTTAAATACCTATACATATAGTTTTTGCATAGGTTTAAGTAATTAATTAAAAGTAAATTGGTTGACATTGATATTTTGAGTAATTCAGCCGCAGAACCAGGACAATGTATGTATATTGAATTGACCAAGCTTTCTACTCGATTGAGACAAAAAATCTAAAGTGTTGATGTAGCCCGAGTCAGGGTCAGGGTCCGCTTCTAAATTTTTGTCAATGAGAATGACCCAACTGTACTGGTCAAAAAAATGTTCCCAGAATACAAAAATTTCAGCTTTTTCGACCAATTTCAAAAACCATAATGGGTCACCCTCTGGGGCTCCTTTAACAAACAGTTTTCATGAATTCGACATAAATTATTCTTTACCCATTTATCCATTGCTATTATTGTTATATTTTAAACACGGACAATAGAACTTAATTTCATTACGTGTACCGTAACTATTTCAGTGTCACTGTCATTACTCCACGCTAAATAAGTGTACTACGGGGTGGACATCTTCAGATCATGCATAGATAAATATCTACTTACATACTTTTGTCGTAATGAAATAAAATGTGTCAGTGGTTGGTGGTTGGTTTGTGGAAAATTTTATTCAAAAAATCATAATGATTTCTCGTGTGGGCCTAATGACATCGTTTTAACTCTACCTTAATAATGTTACCAGATCATACCAGATTCAACAATGAATAGTAGATATATGAATTTAGGAGAAAATTGCATCCCATTGTTTTCCTCGTTTTATAATTAATTAGCAAAATATGACTCATGCTCAACCCTTTTAATCAACACCAACCACAATCCAGTGCACGTACTCTAGAAAATAAATAAATGTCTCAAAAAGTTTTTCATGCAATTTTTTTCATACCCCAAATTAAAACAATTGATCGAAAAATGATACGGATTTCCCAACTCTTTTCTTTCTTCTGGACAAGTACGGTATGCACAAGTATGGGCGGAATATGCAATTCATGTGTATGAAAAACAATGCAACATTTCCGGTGGCGGCAGAGTTGATGATAACATAATAATTGTCACTCTGACAATCCAGCAGAATCCTGGACGGCATAAAAGAAGGCACAATAAAGAACTGCGGCCTCGTATCCCCTCATTATTTAATGGGTCAGAGTCACGAGCATCATGTTAATTAGGAAGTCAACCGTGGTCAGTGAATGGCATGTATGTCTTATCTGTCGGTCTGTCATCCAGTATAAAATCCAAATCTCTCCTGGACAGAAATTCATTCCAGTATTGGCATCATCTAACAAACCTATTTCAAACACTACATTTCATTTTTAATTTACGTAAACTGAAATAATTCCTAAAAATGAATTCCCTCGCCGTTTCCTTTATTCTTGGAGTTTTCTGCGTGTCTTTGGTAAGCTAAAATACATAATGTACAATTTACGAAGGTATAAATTTTTACAAAATTAAATTTGACCTTTAGTCCACTTCCATGAAAGACCCCACTTGCCGAGGACAAAAAATGGAGGTGGCCGAACCAGACATGCAAGTTTGGAAGGACTGTTTGAAAGAGATTGCTCCCGAAATTAACACTGAAGACGATCAGGCCAAAATTGAAAAGAAAATCCCTAAAGAAAAAATGGCTGTGAGTCAAAATAGTACACAGTTTTTTGCATTTTATAAATAAAGATTGTTAAATTCGTTCATGCAGTGTCTCGGAAAGTGCTTCATGATGAAGGAAGGTTTGGTAAGTACACGTGCGAGTACGATGAAATAATAGAATGAAAATCATTAATAAATACAACTTATGTACCTGTAGGTCGACGACAAAGGAATGCCATCAAAGGACATGATGATGACCAAAATTAATGCCACCATGCCCATGGAAGTCATGGAAGAGATGGATTCCGCTATGGGCAAATGTGTCGATGAGACTGGTCAGTTTTAAGAATATTTTGAAAGTGAATAGGTGAAATAATCCAAATTTTGCAAAATACCTATGTAGGTAAAGGTGTCGACCCTAACGATCCTACTTGCATGACTTATCAGCCCCTCACTCAATGCATGATGGTTGCTTTTATGGAGATATGCAAACTCAAGGATTAAACGCGTTCGGGATATTTTAAGATGCGTGATTTCTACGGCATGGATCTAACAGAACTATTTTTATCAATTCGCTTTAAATTTCATTATTTTCAAAATAAGAATAAATCATAAAGTGTAACATGCAAATCATCAAAATTTCAACTTTTGTTATTCTTTAATCAGATTCATAAAATTCCTATGCTCAATAAAACAAAATAATAATTTCTATATTATGACCACCTTTAACTTTTCATACTATTATGCCTCTCATGCATATTTACATATTAACTTAGGACTATTTCCTAAATTTGGGTCTTTTCATACTCAGGTTTCTTTAGTTAAGGTAGTGCATTTATCCGACACAAATATTATGGTGGTGAAAGATTGGATAGGCGTCCTCTTCGGGATAAAATGATGTGTGTCAACTTTCTGTGTGTATTTAAACAACAGAAAAATAATATGAAAGTTTCTTTTAATTGAAATTAGTCTATAATAAATGCATACATACCATTAGGACACCTGGTAGGGGCCCATTATAGGACAACCGTCCCCATCCATTTACCACCAAGACCCATTCAGCTACAAAATCTGCGGTGCTGGGTGCATGCTGGCGAGTGACGTATGAAGGCAATATCATTTTCCAAAACTAAACTGTAAAATGCTTAATTGTTGTAAGTATGCATCCGCAGATTTAGATAATAAAATCACAATACTAACAAATATAGCTCAATTTTATTTCAGTGGATTTCACACTTAAATACATATGTAAATAAGTTACAATACGGAACAAGTTGAACATTTTTCTATCCATCGCAAACTAATTAGACTCTAAATTGCGTATTTACTACATAGATTCAGTAAGAAGCAGTCTGTCGGCTATACTAAACTCTGTTCAACTACATTATTTACTTACTTTTATTTGACTATTCTCTAAATGGAGATCTTTTGTAAAACTAAAAGCTCGCAAAAATAATTCAAGATTGCACATACATATTTGATTTTTCTCATATTTCTCACCCATTATGTAGCAGTCTCAACAAACTGAGACAAAGTGAATTTGAGTATTTCCTCAGAAATCGGTAGGTATTACAACAAAATAGAAAACTGCATTAAATCTCAGGGTCCAAAACTAATATGTACACTATTTTATCAATAAGTATATGGTTCAATTCAGACTTTGTCAATAGTAATGTACAGACTGGAACTAAACTGGGACAATTTCGTACTCAATACTATTTTGTCTGGTCTCTCATATCCTCGAGGCAATTCCATATGTCACTGTCCATTTTCAATTGTCATTGGAGCAGAAATGTAGAGAGCGAGAGCTTCTTGAGGATCGCATTACACGAGAACTTTGTGAAAAGTATCTCTGCAACAATACAGAGCCAGAAGGGAGTCTGGCTGGGTACACAGATACCACATTAAAATGCCAATGCATGATGCATTCAACCTCTGACCTCAATTTGTGAAATTGCTCAGTAGCAGAATATCGATGAGATACGGAGATGTTGTTTTCCTCTCTCTGGAATAGCGACAATCCGACGACGGCAAAAGTGAAGGTACAGATTGCAAGTATATTGATACTGATTCTACTACACAGGAAGAAATTATATTGGACTCAACAATCAAAAATAACCTCTAACAAACATCATCTCATTGTTGTTTTGATGATGATGATGAACCGAGTGAGACATGCGAAACCCAAGGAGCAACTGAATTTAAATAACAATTTATAAATTCCTTGTCAAATTTAGACTGAAGCCTCATCAATAACCGTGATGGGATGGGGTCTTTGTGGGGGTCCATTTTTCAGAGTATTTCGACCAGGATTTCTGAAAAGTGGTATTTCCCTGAGACCTGAAGATGACGACGATGACGATGTTGAAGGGTGAGCTTGGAGTGGATGATGTTCCGTTGAAGAGGGGTCATTAGTTTCACCAGTACCATCCCCAGTGGCAGGATTGACTTCAATGGAGGACGAATTGGTAGCTAGTTGATTCTGATACGGAGGGATGAGACTTAAATGTGGGTATGACAACTGCTGGTTTGCATGCGGGGGGATGAGATGGGACTGATTATGCACCCCGACAATGCCCCCCGCCAAGGCAGCTGCAGTCGTGCCAAGACCAGCGTGTGCTGTTTGTGCAAAACTAGGTCTGACTGCTGACCATCGTCTGGCCCTTCGTTCCACTAAAACAGCGTAGTCTGGGTCGTATTCCGAATTGAGACAGTTTTCCACTTTGTTACATGAAGTTATACATTCTCCAAAATATTCGGCCCATTCGTCAAAGTAAATGTCCTGTTGAAAGAAATAATAACAGTTTGACATCAGAATCACAACATAACATAACCCGGTGTTATTGCAAACTGTCAGTCAACTCGACTTGGCAGGGAACCAGATAGACAGCTAATTTTTACAGGACTTGACAGGACAACTGACACAAGTGTCAAGTATAGATATAGAGCACGTATATAGGGAAAAAGTAATATTGTATATTTCTAAAGAAAAAGGTTCTCCACCTGGAAATCCATGTCTGCCAATCCCTCCTCGGAAATGCAAGTCAACTCTTTCCCCAATCCTGCAGGATCCAAACCATTTCCTCCTTGACCATCGGAATCGTGTTTGGATTGAGTAGGGAACTGTTCCAACGGGTAGGAGAAAGAAAGTCGACGCATCTTTGGAGATTGGACGCTCTCAGTGGTCTCATTACTGCAATGGCACAATATGCACATTCATAAAGGGCATGATGTTATTTATGGGTATTGCAAATGGAAAAACTTGTCCCTCTACGACTCACGTTTTCATTGAACTGTTTGGCGTTTTACGTCTGGAAAGCCTTCTTCTCCTCACTACATACAAACAAACCATACATAATTTGCTGAATCTTACTACGCAAAACGGCAAATTCTTGTTATTACCATCTGTCAAGAATAAAAATGCAGAGCCGACAAAAACTGAAAACGCGGAAAGATAATATCCAGATTTCCAGCCAATCACAGTGTTCATGTGTCCTGAAATTATACAAAATAAAAAATAATGCGTATCCTGGTAAAACACGGATATTTAGTACAATTATGTATTGTAAAACCTGTGAGAGGAACCCCTATAACTAACGGAATAGCCTGAGACCATTGTACGAAAGACCACGCTCTTGGAAAATGTCGAGCTCTGACTCTCTCGTACGTGTAGACTTTTAAGGCGTAATTGTAGCCACCCAGAGCGAATCTATTAATAACGCCACGAGTAAAAATATTGCCTATGCAAATAATTCTTTTTGAAGGCCTTACCCATACACCCAAGCTGTAAAATTTAAAAAAATAGCAATTAAAAAATTGTAGAATTTATATCTTGCACAGTGAGTAAGAAAAGGCTCGATGTTTATTTTATATGCTTTGGGAATAATACAACGTAAGCTGATTGGTAAAATCATAAAGATTTTATTAATCAACAGTCGCATTCACAATGGCATCCTCACCGAAGATGACGAGACCTCCAAGTCCTTCAACCGCAGTTAGAGCTATAAAAAAATAACTTTAAATTTAGTCCGGGTTTTTCCGATCTACTTGAAAACAATGCATTTTTTAGCTCTGAATCCGTACCTACTATTGAGATACCACATATCACACTTGCCATCTGTAAAAATTCAATGAATATCATTCATGTCAGAGAAAACACAATGCATCAAAATTGGACCAACCTGGCACAAATACTGTTTTGAAACACGACACTCTTGGTTTTTTTGAATCACCATGATGCCAAAGAGGGAGCACCCCAGGATCCACGACACGCCGATGTAGACGTGCAGCAGGACTAGGGAAGAGGGGTCCTCTCCTTCCGCTTTGCACTCGAGAGCCTGATTTATAACAGTGCAGAATTTAAAATTACTTCTTCCATTCGTCAATTTGACATGTATGTAGGTTTATAATTAGTCTTACTAAATGGAAAAGCGGCGTATTGATACCGAACGCTGTGAAGGCGCATGATAACAATAAAATCTGCAGGGTTTTACTCCTTAAACACTTAAAATCGATGAAGGGCGGTTTGTCGTCGCGTTTTTCTTTATCTTTAATCTGTAAAATTGAAGAAAGTAGTAAAATTTGGGGAAATGTTTCACAATATTCTAACAATATAGAAGAGTTATTATGTTACAAAAATTGCATACACGCAAGTAGAGCAAGATTGCATCTCACTTTACCAAGATCAGTCTACTTTGTGGGCCAACTTACTTTTCTCTTAGTCGTCTTTAAGAATCCAATCGCTCTTCTCTGCGGATGATAAAGTGATGCAGAGCGATAACACGTTCCCAAGAAAAATGTAAGAAATAGTGAACCAGTCACGGCCTGAAGACCAAGTCTCCAACCCAGGGAACTGGAAATGAAGAAAAAAATAAGTAGTATTTACTATGCAGTCCAGCCCAGTTATTCATGCAGTAAGTTTCTACTGCTAGTTTTACAAAGTCCGGTTCAACTTTTTTTCGAACATGCATAAAAGACACATGCAGAATGCGTAATATTCCGACAAATTGAGGAACATTTACGTATATTCTTACATATTTTATTAACAAATTTTCTTTAGTGGCACTTCACTCGATTGAACAAGAGTGAAATTGAATGGGGATGATGGCTGTAATAATACTTTGCTCCTTCAAGGCAATATTTTCTCAAAAATGGTGAAACCATAAGGAGAAAGTGGTATTGAAATAATAAAAGAGTTGGCATTTAGTATTATTATTATTAGTGCGACGACTGACCTGAGTGCAGAATGGAGGCCGACGGAGCAGATAATTATGCCCAGTCCGGAACCAGAGACGACGAAAATTTCAACGAGATCTCGTCTTCTTTTAAAATACTGTCCCACCATTAACGTCGAAGCATCTCTCGTCAACCCGACACCAACGCCTGCAAGAAAATTGTACCTTGAGCATGTAGGTAAGCTGGTAAATATGTGTAGTTCAACTCACCTATAAAAGCTCCATAACTGATGCAGATTTGATGAAATTGAGACGCAAACGAGGTGAAGAGACATCCCAGTGAGGCGACAAGTCCTCCAAAAACGGCTTGAAAAAAAAATTATGATACGATTAACCTTTCAATTCAAAGTGTAATTTGAGCAGAAGAAAAGCTTTAGTCACCTGAAAGTCGCGTGCTTTTTCTTTTGCAGATGGACACCCAGAGTGGCGAAAGAAACAAGGAAACACCCATTGATACTGATCCCAGCCAACCTTTGGATAAAAAAATGAACAACAATCATCATCAAGATATCGTTATTATTGTTGAGTTTAAATCTCAAATATAGAAACACTGAACGATTTCTCAATGAACATGACGACCAATAAAGAAATTTGAATCATCATTAATCGAATTTATGTGAAGTTGAAGGTCCACCCTGCCCTCGAGCGAATAAAACAGTTGGAGTTGGTTGATGCATCTCATTAAAGATTTACAAATATGAAATGCATGTTGGGTCCAGGCAATTCTTTCGAATGTCAAAAATATCTCTTAATCAAGCCAACCAACCACTGACTTGCTCGTTCGTTTGACAATTAAATCAGAAGGCAGTGCTACAATGTACTTTTGGCTATAATACGTTTGTTCAACTTTCAAGATCAATGGAAATAAATTACGCCTTGCTGATGGAAAGGGTGACATGCAGTTCAGAGCGGAGGCTGACTTACTGATTTATCGCGATTCAATGTCAACATCTTAAATCACAATTATTTCTTTAATTGAACAAGTCGGTTGGATTGGATGAATTTTTTGGGTATTTTAACGAAGTAAAGGTATGCAGACTGAAAATTGGAAACAGTTTGTCTTAATTGCAATTTACAACCTGGTGGGAAATACATTAAGGTTTTAGTGAGACACATTCCTTGGGGTTTGAGGCAATTTTCACGATTTTAGATTGTCCTTAAATGTACAATATCGATTCTAAAATGACGGGTTTATTATAAATCGGGACCCGCACAGAAATTTTCGTCTTGATTGATTATTCATCATCAATCACAATGCAAAATAATTCATAATCAACCAAATTGGCCACCGGCAACTCAAGTACAAATTTATCGCAATCAATCAGCTCGGTCGCTCGGTTATGAAATGGATCTTGTTATTATTATTGGTTTGATTTTTTGTTTGTACGCCCGACATTTGATGCGTGTGCTCATTTATCATTCACGGTTATAGAAAATGACTTGCATAACGAAGAAGAACCAATTCCAATAATTGTTCCTGTTCTCGGTGGATGGATTCAAAGTCAGTTGTTAGTTCATTGACACAACTTTTGCACATTTACATTTCTCCGAATCAAAGTTGCGATCATTAACATAATTTATAGCGGCATTGTTGTGATTGACACTGCGTAAAATAAAGAAAAAGGTAATACAGGAAATTTAATTTATTCGAATTTTTCAAGTTTTCCATTAACGTTAGGAAAAATTTTGAGTGTTCTTGTCCCAATGACAGCCAGGACTTCTACTTGGGTGTGAAATTGCCAACTTATTATGCAAAAACTTATACAAAAGACAGCGTCATGGGTGCCTGTTCAAGAACGGTGAAAGAAGCAACAGCAATAATGAGGCAGGCATATCATTTTTTCTACTTTTCTTGCTAATGGGACAAACCAGATCAGTGATGGATTGTGTCACTCACTATGCCGATCTTATGCCTCTCGTCCTGTAGATGAGTGAGTGCGATGAAATTAATTGTCTTTTTCGACTTGACTTCTTCCAATAAGAAAATGTGCTCTCTTGGTAAAGCCAAATACATAATTGACTCATTCCCACTTCTCGTTTTGTGGGATCATCATCAAATCCAATGATCTGGATCTGGTTAAGCCAGGACAACCCACATAAGTACTACATAGTACATACATACGCCATTATTATCGTCATTCTGTGAACTTATGCCACAATAAGATGAGAGCAAGCTGCTGCTGTTGAACTGCCACTTTTCTCGACACAAACACAACCTCATTAATTTAATTTATATTCATGTTGTTTTATTTTATATTAAGCTGATTTGCTCTAATGTGGATGTCGTCTGGGACTCTGATAGTACGTGAGGAGAGTGCTCATCGTCTGATTATACGTGTCGTGTGATAATTATTCAATCTGATAAAATACAAAGGGTTTGATTTTGGAAATAAGTTTGTCGTTTGTGAATCAACATATATTTTTCAGTTGGGTCAACATGAATGTTCTCTGGGATCGAAAATTTCGAGCCGAAATTTTATTTTTTTCATACTGCGTGAAAAATGCGACTAAAAGGAAGTGAGGACTCAATCTGCACTGCTTTTCAGCAAACTTCACATGATTTGTTTATCGTCATGTTTGAATATTTAGCCGTCATCAAGACACCAAATGGATTATCTCGACTCCTCCGCCAATCCAATATTTACCATTTGTCAAAAAATTAGCAACAAAACCAGCCAAGTTCCTCTCTTCAGATTCAATGAACTGCAGATTTTATTATGTATGCATGTAGATCCTAATCTTGCCCTATGCAGACTTTAAATCAATGCTTTTATTTTACGATTATCGCTACTTTTACTAGATGATACGATGCATATATTGCGATTAAACAAAACTATCTTCCAATCACCTCCACCACCACAACATGTAAAGAACAACAGTAAAAAAATATAACTAAAATTCTTTCCAGAGATAATGATCAGTGATCAAGAGATCAAAAGTGAGCATGGGATTGCAACAGACAGATAAATGATGCTCCGTCAGTTTCATGTAAACATTAAAAATTTTATTACTTTACTTCACTTTCGAATGAATCGAAAGAGATTCAAATTCAAATTTTTGCATGTCACAAACATTGATGTTCTGGTTATGCACTTGTCTTGAAAAATTTTAATGGTAATAAATACCATTTTATTTGTGAGAATGTCAAGTTTTGTGGGAATCGTATTTTTAATCCGTCCTGTCTGCCTGAAAATTTTTATTATGAGTACGTATCAAGTTTTAGTCTACAATTCTGGCTGCACAGTAGTCAGTAATTTTCCATCAAACAGCCGAGAAATTAGTTCCATCACTTTAATTTAACTTTTGAGAGAGGATGATGACATGATGTGATTTTATGTATGTTCCGTTTTGATGGCAAAGGATCAAATAACTCTAAACTGAAACCCGTCGAGATTTAAAGATCTCAACGAACTGTAAAAGTGCATGTTTTGTCAGGTAACTTGTTAATTTTGTGTAATTGGTTTGATTCAAATTTTGACAAGATTACTTCCATCACTGTCGTTCCCACTTGGTTAAGCTGTCCGTGTCCTGTTTCATAGAAATATTTGGACAAGAACGAATACAGCCGGGGCACGATTCATCCTTCATCTAAATATTCCTACTGAACCACCACCACGAGTTGGCAGTGATTAATAAAAAACCTCATAAAGTGAACCAGACAAAGTATATAAAATAAAATCTGATTTGATCTGACTCAATTCGTCATCCATTCTTTTCGTGGTATGAATATTCAAACACTATAATCGAGCAATTGCATTTTTCATATCAAACCAGCATCAGACGGACTCGTACGTAATTCAGAAGAGGTCTTCGAACCATAATGATATAGCGTCCCCTTGTTTATCTACTGCGATACGCCGGGAGCAGCTATCATATTATGCCAACCTACAAATGTTAACTATCTACGAGGACGTCGAGACGAGAGAAAAAATAGCACTATAATAAATTACCAGCACACTTTGCTGCATTCCAAATGGATGAATTCGTTAAGTTGGAGACATTACTATCATTTAAAAAAGATGACTACGAGTAAGTAGTGACACGAACTTGAACTCGGTAAAACCATGTTTCATTTAAAATTTACATTACTCCCGGTACAGTAATAACTGAATAAATATGGAGATAATAGATAATAATAAATATTTATTTGCTAATCAATAACTGCATCTAAAAATCAGGGTTTGTTATTGTTGCTACAAGTGCATAGCAAACTTTGATCAAACAAGGCATCAAAGATTATTGGACGGATATAGAATTGAGATCTGAAAACATTATCGACTCGTATAGGTAATAATAGCAGTCTTGGTATTACCACCTCCTGCCTGCCTGCCTGCATTTCAACCGACCTGGTCAAGAAGTTGGAATTAATTGCATTCATCTTCTCCTCATTCATACGTCAATCTGTCAAAGTCAAGTTGAGAAGCCTGTTTTAAACCCTGACAAAAACGAGAAACAAAACCATATTCTTAATGTTGCAATTCATGGCTGGAATAAAATTATTAAGAATTGCACATCAAATGTGCATCTCAAAAAAGTACTACATAGTTGGCAGAAAAAGAGATCTATTATTGTACTTATTCCGAGATATTATTGAACTCTATTTGTGCCAATAATAACGAAACTCTCTGCTCCTTGGACCTTTCTCAATTTTCTTTTATCCTTCATTTAATGGGTTTTTTCATCCCTTCTAAACTTGTCATTGAGGGCAATACAAATAAAGTTGGGTCACCAAACCAAACTAATCTCATAAACTGGTAGTTAGAAACTACTTTGTTAATAAGTGGAGGAATATCTACGCCACGATGCTCTGTGTACTTCTCAAAAGCAATGATGATGATGATGCGACTAGTCTCTTCTTCTTACAATGAACCGAGATGGATTCTCGGCTGGAAAGTAAAACCATAAAAATGAACGAATTCAACAGGATTACAATGAACTAATGGAAGAGTTAAGCAAATAAATTAACCCAACTTTGGCCAAACTGATTTTGTAAATGGAGAAATATTGCGTATATTCTTTGATGGATGCAATTGTATGAGAAAGCATAAAACTTAATGGCCACCCTATATATCCATCCACAGACTACTTTTTATGTATAACGGATAAGAAAATCAAATTAAAAACGTCTGCAAAAAAACTTTTGATTGTTTTTGATGATCAACCGACTTTATCACATTTAATTGAGTCGTGATTTTTTGGCACATTTAAGATCCTTGTAAAACAATAAATTCATATATACAAGGTAAACTATTTATGATTTTATACTTTAATTATGCAATTAAACTAAGAGATATTTACTCTAAAAAGGAAAAAATTCAACAAACATTAGTTTGTGAAAGAACAATGCTCTATTTATGCCATACTTGGTTTTCATACGTGCGTACGTATGCACATAATCCGTCGTACATACTTTGCACAGATTATAACTGATGGTTGATATAATTTTTATTATTCTTTTGTAACTAACTCGCATAAAGAATATCGGCAGATTACAGGGAAACTTTTTGCAAACTGATTTGGCAAAAAGAGAATAAAACTTATAGTTTGAGCCTTATTTGCCCTTGTCATTTCTCCGTCCTCACTCACTCGCCTGACTCCATTACTCAACAAATGAACCAGCAAGCTTCGTCGATCTATGGTACAGATTTATTAAGTTCATAAATTTGTGCCCTCCTCGGCGGAATGCAGATTGAGCGACATGACGAAAACTCACCATTAGATATGTGGAAGCACAGATGATAAAAACAGGACCATCAAGAGAAAGGTTGCCGTATTCTTATCGTATGAAACGCCTCGTAACTATAATATTTTTATCAAATAACAAGATAATAAACAGGGTTTGTACAACGTATCAATGTGTCCTTGTTAGTAGGCAGTGTTGGCCGTCGTCGTTTATAAAAAGACTTATTCCTCACATTTATTCCGGCCAAGAAGATGCTATAAACCCCACTAAATAATAGGATGAGGGTGTTCCTCTGCCTCCATATCTGTCGTCCTCGACTACTTTACGGTTTGTTTGCAACTTGTGGCAAGTAATTACAAAAAGTTTGCGATTGTGGGCTAGATTGTGGTTCTATTTCAATCTGGGATTTTTTTAGATTCTGTAAACATGAACCCATTACATATTCATGAACATTTTTAACCGTTCCAAATTTACTCCCCACGACACGACACGCATTAGCACACATTAAATGTGTAATTGAAAGAGGAAAAATTGTGTAAACAACAGTATACATCACTTTCTTTCAACAGTTTCGATATAATACAGATACTGACACAGATAGAAAATTGATATGCGAAATTGTCCCATGCTAAAAAGTCAGCAAGTGCAATTTATTCCCTTTTTGCATTGTGCCTCTACTACATCCGAACTCAACTTAATTCAAAAAAGTCTTCCCCATCAATTCAAAGTCTGAGGCATTTCCGTCGCAATCTTCTTGTCCTAGGTCTCTCTCCATCGACATGGATAGCGGCCGACCAACCGACCAATATAATATTATTGGCAGGCTGGAAGACTGTAAGGAATGAATTGCTGGACAAAGTTTGTTTTATGGCCATTCCGGCCAACGACTTGGAGAAGAAGAAGAAGAAGGGACTACTTTTCCACTGGACTTTCTCACTTTCACCGAAAACCCACCCACTCAGCTCGGCGGCGATAATATTGCGGATAGTGATAGTGTGTGCATCCTATTATATTATCCTTCTTCTTCCTGGAGAACATGGCCTTTTATAAAAACTATCGCACCGTTGACAGCTCTTACCGGATGTGAAATCCACTGGCGTTCGTACCACCCAACCCACATTTCCATGCTTCCCACTTTCATTCACATTTATATGTATGCTCGAGTGTAATAATTCTTACGACCTGGTGACTCTTGCAATATCAGAGAGACGGTTGTCCTGCTATGCTGCAGATACGATTTATTTTCCTGCTGGGTAAGTAATATAAGATAAGATCTTGAGAAAGACGATGTGAGAATGTCCTCATCTTCTTCTTCTTTTTCGTGCATATCGTATCGTAACTCATCACCTTGTTCAACATTCGTGTCCTCCATTATGTATATCTAGCAAGACAGCAAATCCGGAAAAAACTTCGTGTCGCTTCATTCTCCACTAACCAGTAGTGTGTAAGTAGATAACCTAAATCTATCCTGTGTGTGGTGATGATATGCTGAATGCGATCTTGGAAATATTGCCAATTTCTTTGACTGAGATTAAGATTTCGTTGAGAGATCCTGCTTTCTCGGGTGTCAGGCCGTGGTGGAGTGTAAATCATTGAGTACATCGAGTCGTCTCGAGTATGCAAAACATTTTTGTCAAGTATTTAGCAGCGTATGTATGAACGAAGACGTATCTATGAAGGTTTTATAGATGATGGAATTATAATAAGCATGCGATTAAGGAATCTGGTTACAAATTAAAAATGGATGTGGTATCATCTTTATCGTTGTGGGTGGGTCGTCGGACGGAGTCTGGCTCTGTGGTGGTCATTAATCAATCCACGAGCAATTTATGGGTTCAGAATGTTCCTCGGAATTATTACGAGAGGAGAAAAAGCTTGCATGTGTCGCATAGAAAGTATATATCCAAATTCTATGTCAAAATATACCCTATACTACTCCTCAGCATCTTCTTAATTACTGTGCATTTTTTCCATCAAGTTTTCCCGACCTCACGCTTTATTATAGGGCCATCAACTTATAAATTGTGACGCGATAAGACATGCCGACGACCGACACCATTATCCTCCCAAAGAAGGTGGCAAGTCAACCATTATACAGCTAAATTATACAGGACCACGTTCGATTTAAATTTCCCAAATAGAATCTTGAGAACAATCAGAGGAGAAGAGATTAATGAAATTGATATTGACACTGACAACAACCTCTGGAGCGTTGTCATTCGAATACTTGTTCTTCGCATAGAAAAGAAGACAACGCAATTATCAGCAGAGGTAATAATAACCATCATCATCTCGTAGTACATAGTAGTTACTGCTCGCTCGGAATGGTCCTGTTGGTCACTTGGACCTTATCCCAGTGAGGAGAAGGAGGTGGTAAACTTTTACTTTTTTGGACTGTTGGTGGACGTGTAGGATTGGAAAAGACGACTGCAATTGGCATGCTCATTACCATCACAAATCTTACGAGACGTGTTTATTTATGTCGGACCCCACGAACGACGAGGACGAAGCAGCCGTAAAATAATTCATCGCATCGCTCTTTCGCTCGCCCCTATGTTTATTTAAATGACAACTTGGGTTAAAGTTGCTTATTGTTCTTTCACTCATTGGCATTTGAGAAGACACAATTAACACGTGGACGTGTGTGGGTTTTTCTTAATGACGATGAGTTATTTCATTAGCCAGTACCACACATCAGTGAAGAAGGAAGATTTCAATGATATGTTTACGAAAAAAGTTGGTGAATGTAAATATTTATTCGAACAAATAGTAAAGGTTTATTCTCACCTGTGTGAAAGCGATGAAAGACGATATTTGAGAGATAAAGTTGAACTCCAAGGGCTAGCGCGTGGCTGAATAGGGCGCAGAAAGTAATTATCCAACCCCATCCGCCCTCCTGGTAATATAATTCAGATGAATTAGATGCTAATATTTATCGTAAGTAAATAGTGTTATAATATGCATATGATGTTTCCTTACTGGGTAGTAATGTTGTGAGATCGTGGTTTGTAACGTTTTCCAATTCATCTGTCGTTTGCCTTCTCCAGATTCCTAAAATAAGTCAGGAAATCATTTCATCCTCGAAACCTTCAAGTCTACATGTGTCAGCGATAATTGATTTTGTTACCACATCTTTCATCAGTTTGTTATCCTTACAATGCCAACAAATGAATGGTCATTATTGTAAATTAAAAATTGAAATGATCGAGTAAGCTCATTGACTGCCAAATAAGGTTTAAATGTCCATCCATTCAAAATCTAAAACTTTGATCGTCACGCTTAACCATGATGAGAAATTGTTTACTTGCATAATGAGCCAGCTCAAAAGTTGAATGTAATCAAATCAATGACAAGCACAAGTTTTGCTTAACGGATTTCTCTGTGCAAATAACTCACAGTAAATTTTCATCTTAAATTCTTAAACACAATGCTATCTTACACTTGTATTTATAACATCTGTAAATATGTTACGTCGTTAGTGTGGATTTGCTTTATTTATTTCCCAAGAGATCATGTTAAGCCTAAATTAATAGGTTTTACTCTTAAAGGGATTCTCTCTCCACAATGATAATCCGCTCTACAGTTCATTCACTACACTCGGACCAAGAAATATGTACGTATACAAGATTACACAAGATAATGCTCTACTCTCATGTATTTGGTATGCAATGGATGGACAGTCATGTTTTCTTTTGTGGTACAAGCAATCTTAAAAATAACAATGGAACACAAAACAAATACAAAAATCATGCTGCATTCGGCGCACAATAACTGTTTTTGATTGTTGCCTTTTGCTCACTTGTGCAAAAGCATATTTCCAATGAAATCCATTATTCGATTGATAAAACCAATCAAATGATGAGCACAATTCGACTGCAGGAAATACATATGGGCTACATTGTGCAAATAATTGCGTGACACATGTATTTGATAGCTTGTGCAATTTAAGCTTGTCAATAAGTTATCAGATTTTGTATATATTGTGTTCGATCTCTTTCTTGCCTTGCTTACCTGACCGGACGGAGGACCGGAAGAATCATTGGCGATATTTTTGACTTGACCATTCTTCAACTCCTGAATGTTGCCCCGCTGATCGCGACATTGGTCTTTGCCCAACACACCCCCACATCTACTCACACCGGTCGGGATAACATTACAAGTCCCCGGTTTACACCCGGGGTCGTTGTAGGTACAAGTCCTTCTGCTGCTGTGGCTGTGGTGCGAGTGGTGCCCACTGCCCCCATTGCTACAAATGTCTGAACAAAACACTGACGAACAGCCCGAACCAGAATCTATACTCGTATTGTTTGGATGGGTCCGGTGATGATGGTGGTGACTATTTTCACCCTCAATTTGTGGGAGGTACGCATACGGTAAACTTTTAGAACGCCAATACCGAATCATCCGGACTTGGTCTTGTTCCTCGTCATCTTCGGCGGCTTGGTCCTCCTGCTCGGAAGTTAAGGGTTGGACCAAATTTTGGTTTTGGGAATCCATACCACTACTTTCATCGATGGAGACTTCTTCGAGGTCCTCATTTTGATTTTTCTTCACGATTGTGGCCGTTCGTTGCTTTAAGATTTGACTTTGTCGCCGATTCCTATCAAGGAGCCCATTGTCCTCTGCGTCCATTTTTAGAATTTTAATTTCACTCCCCGTTTACCAAGAGTACATTGTCATTTGTTGGTTAAAGATGTAGTAAATTGTTGGGAAATCTGGCGTGTGAATCTTGAATTTTCTCTCACATCTTTGTCACCTGTCTGTCACAGGGAGCATTGTGTTACGTACGTAATGTTATGCATCATACGTACTTTATTGGTCATAAACTGCAGTATATTGTCACTCTTATTGGATTAGCAGTTTGAAATATGTGTCTCGTTGTCGCGACTTAAAACTTGACCACTGCTGTCATTTCATAAACTACGGATGCGGACGATTTGCCCATAAATCTTCATTTGTTGTTATATTCATGCATCATGTTTCACTTCAGGCACAACACAGTCACATATTGTTTGTTGAAGATTATGTAGAACGTTGTTTGCAAGAAATGCTTGTCCTCGTGATGCTGCACGATCCTGCTGCAATTCAAAGTTTTACAAGTTGCATTTACAAGAAATACGGGTCATATAAGTAGACAGACATGCATCTATTTACGCGTGATTTGCAGATTGACTGTAATTTTAGACGTTGTAAAAAAAACTTTAAAAATAATCTATCAAAGAATCAAACCGAGTAGCTAACTGCGTCCAATTATTCTAAAATTTCAGGATCAGAATGACTAAACCAAATCAAAAGTAATTTAATCCAACTAACACATGTTCCCTGCGAATTCATCCGCAGTCATCCCATTGTTGATGGTAAATTCAAGAGTAAATTGGTACGTTGTTCCAACAACCACGCATCAGTTGAATCTTTGTATTATTCGAATACAACAAGTGTTAAATATACACGTATATCTAACTTTGCGCCGAAATAGGAATGCACATGACTCGGCAGAATGTTTCGTTTATCACTTGTTTGGATTTAAATTCTATTGTTGCCTCTAATTTTGAGCACCTCTTGTTACAGGAATTATAACCAGATTTTAAACTTTGCACGTTGTTTGACTCTTTAAATTAAATGGTTTTAAAGTTGGGTAGTAAGATAACACCGAAAGTATGCACGTATTGGTCCACTTTTTCACCAAGGGTGTCCACATATGTAGTATCATTAATATCGGGGGAAAACATGTTAAAAGCTTTGATGAGATTTGTTGATTAGACAGATATTGAGACCCAAAGGTGAGTATTATTTGAATCTAATCACGCCAAATCAAATCTATATTGTTGGGTCAGCGAACGGATATTGGAGACAGCACACATAAAATGGAATGAATGTGTAAAAAGCTCGCTAATTCTCAAACAACATCCCAATCCACTTAAAGCAATCAGGGAGCAATCAGGCATGATCAAAGCAATAGACTGCGAAGAAGAGGCGTGCTTTTCTGTCTCGACTTGGCTCATAATTAAGACTGGGATTAAATTACCTGCCATATTCTTATCTCGCAGTATAAAACAAGTCCACCCATTTGATCTGATTACGACATGGGCAAGGGAGGAAAAGACGCGAAAAGAGGAAGGTTCTCCAATGTATGGCTTGATGAATACGTAAATTAGCGTAATTTGGGCAATTTTGTGCTAAATTATGAGATAATGGTGTTGAAAGAAGCTTTATAATTTATTGTCGAGATTTTGTAATAATATTTACACAAGTTTTTTTCTATTCATTCAAAAGTTTTACATTTCAATGGGGCCCAGTAATTCATTCAATTTATCGAAAATTACTGTGCAATCTTGACCTCCAACATTGGACAAATGATAACCTGGTTTTACCAACATGTCACCTGCGAGAACTAGCAGAAGCAACTATCCGTCAAATTCCAATCAAATTAATTCACCCTAAAACAGAGGGATGAGTAAAAGGAGAAAAAAATCCAAGTTGATTTCAACTACCAGATCAGACCGGCCCGTCAATCAGTTACTAAAAGGACCAGATTGTCATATTACGACGACTGGACCAAGTGCAAGCAATAACACTTAAGATAAGCAGATCAGGGTGAGGAACAAGTAAGCGAACATTTTTTTGCACATTCAGCCAGACCCACGCAAAGAAAGTGAATTTACAGACTAGACTCAGAATTAAAAAGATGTTGAAGAGATCACCTCTTTCGCCCGGTTTTCAGACTAATGAACGTGGTGCTGGTGGAATATGAATTTTATGGTACAAAGAGTCTCCTTTGTTCCACCAATAGTTTAAATAAATCTCTTCCAATCATCATCACCCCGTTCATTTACGAGTGTAAAATATCACCGCCACGATATTCTACCTCTTCACAACTCATTACGCCAAGCAAGCCAAAGACCAACCGACCTGATAAACAATCAAATCCTGTTAAATTCCAAGAAGCGAGTAATGAGTCGATTTTTCAACGAGACGCTGAGAAAAGAAAGATCTCTTTTAAGAAACATTCATCTTCAACATTTCTAAATTTCTACATTTTCCACATCCATGGTTTAAGTTGAATATCAGCATTCCAGGCTTTTACTGTTTTCCTAATCAATGGCCGCGGAAGCTGTGGGGATATTAACATTGCAGGATAGGGGGGAGGGGTTAATATAACATGGGCAGATGATGCCGACATCGAATAACCCTGGGAACATTTTCCCCACCCTTCCGCGGCCACTGTTCCTAATCTTAACCACATTTGAGCTTCTTTCATTCCCTTTATGCTGAACGATGTACAGAAGTCGTTGACGCAAGAATTTGAAAAATGTACGCAGTTGCTGATACCAGGAAGTAAATTATTCCGTTAATTTACGTACTATGGTTGAAATTTTACTGAATTTTAAGAGACCGCAAAAACAGCTACTACATTTCCCGGTTCTCTTCTGCATACTTTGACAAGGGGAAAAGATTTATGACTAAAAACCTTGACTGGATTTTCATGGAGAGTAAAATTGGAATATAAGAAAAAATCGGGGTGGGTAAAAAGCTGACAGTTTTTGATGGTTCTCTTTGAGTTGGAACGCATTTTTCATTCCTAATCTCACAAGTACAACAAGTGGAGAGGAGAAATATTGTATTAAAGCAGTGAATAACTTTATGTATAGTGGTTGTTGTGATGCTTTTGTATGTATGAATTTTCGGTCTGACAAATCACCGGATGAAAAGCAATGAAAATACAGCAGCCAAGAAATAAGAAACTTTTCTCATCGGTCTATAATGTAATTGTATTTAGTGAGTTATCACACACTCAACAACCAACCGCCCCATCATTAAATACGGAAAAAGTTGTGAGACCGATAGTTGTTCAAAGTTTGGCAGAGATTGACTTGACCCTATACTGGTCAGGGCACTGGTTATCTTCTTCCCTCCGATACGAGCACTTACTTTCCCCGAGAACAATAATCATAATATGAAGTAATAGCTGCTTACGCAACAGAAACAAAGAAAATAAGGCAATGACAGCGTCGTCGTCGGTATAATAAAATCGAGGACTCATATACCAAAGACTTTTTGGGTTACTTTTGGTCAAGCCTGGTTGGTAGCTGCCCCACACGCAATTTTTTCCAACGCACCTCCATCCATGAATGTCGAGGGGAAATATCGATGGTCCAAATCGCCTCCGTTCGTCTCACCCTGCTGACCATGGCACGTGGAGGAGAGACAAAGTAGTAGAAAAGTAGCAGTAAATGGTCACATATTTTCTAATAGAAACTTTTCCCCTGCTTTATGACCACTTTTACTTTTCGTTGTATTATTACATCACATCCGTCCTACAGACAGGGCTGCACTTGCTAAAAATAGACATTTATATTGCCACTGTCAATATGAAGTGATGGTAATTATTGGACGGTCTTCCAACAGTACGGGAGAAAGTCTAAGGATAAGTAGAAAGTTTATCTGGGGGACAGTTGAGACAAAAGAGGCAGACTTTTAGCCCATTATTTAGACAAGGGTAGCAATTGGGTGAGGTAATAAAAGGACGAATGTGAATATATATCAGTCCCTTCCTCTGAAAAGTATTTACCCACATGGAAAACTTTGAATTGATTCCAGAAAACAATTTCAAGAGCTCGCAAGCCAGACAGAAAGTTCAAACCGCATCGTGAAATAAAAACCTAATCGATCGGAGAAGTCACATAGTCGGAAGAGAAAGAATTCAAAATGCTGTCTGGAAAACTACTGCAAAACCCCGTGAGGAATCAAACCACGGAAAATGCAAGAGTTGGCATTCCGATTTCCTATCTGTCTCCCACTTACTCATGAATTCGTATCATTTACGTCCAGCATAATCATAGTGGTGGATTTATCTGGGAAAAAATTGCAAAGTGAATGGCCCTTTGGACCAGCTTCCTGTTGTAAATGTCAAAATTCCGATAGCAATGCTCACTCGACTTGAGATGAAATATTTGTATATCAGAAACTGACTGATGAGAGAAGTGAAATCCGTACAAAATTCGAATTTTCGAAAAAAATGTACATGATACTGAGCACATAAAATTTTTTCGGCATTTTGAAGAGTGATTTCTGAGTGCTTGCTAAAAATCTTGTCCCTCTGCATGTCAGTTAGTAATACGTTCATACAGTCTCAAACTGCTTGTGCGTCACAGGAGTAAATAAAAAAAACTGCTGAAAATTAATGTCTGAGGCAAACGCACACACGCACTTTTCATTTTTCTTAACAGATCTTTATTTATTATGGTGAAGGATTAAGGATTATTTCAATATTGCGTGAAGGAGAAGAAAAACAGTTGCCCCACGGTGCGATTTATCACATTTTGTTCAGACTCATTAAACCAATCCTGACGTGGAATTAATACTGATGCTTTTAAAATCTTGTTTGACTAGTGGATGATTATAATTGCTATGCGAAAAAAAACAAGCGAGTAGCAAATATTTCAAAATATCAGAATCACGGGAGGCCAGAGAATAATTCCTGGCAGTGCATATTAATTAATTGTAATGTTGCATAATAATGGCAAGAAATCAAGACTCCCTTCACTTACGGTTCGACTTGTAATCCACCAAAATACTGCCTTTAATCAAGTAAGATTATGCAAATTAATGAATAAACACTATACATAAAAATCACAATCAAAAGTTTAACTTTCACCAAAACGGCACCAATATTTTTAACTTTTCTTTCCTAAATCCTCCACTTTTTTGACAAATTGCTGAGACCAATTCGAAATTTGTTGCGGGTGGTATCCGACTCACTCTGAGTAATAGATAAGTTTTGGTGAAAGTAGGATATAGGAAATGGTTGTGGACTTAAATAAACAAGCGATTCCACCGCACGCACACACACGAGATGAATGAATCGGATGAGGTGGGACGAGTGAGACGAGACAGTCGAGATCTTCTTCACTTGCTCACAGATTGAATGAGACTCCCAAAAGTAAACTCGCCAAGCTTTCCACAAGAAGACTCTCAGTCAGCCCTTTAACCACCAACCAGCCAATGCAAAGTTCGGCTAGTGGAGTTCAATGGAAGAGTCTCAAAAGCAGGGTAGTAAAGGAAAAGCGAGTCTCACATGTAATGTGGTTCGTTGCCTGTGTCCAATAGTAGGAGATTCAGGAGTTGGTTGGGTTGGTGGTTAAGGCGAAAAAATCTCGTTCTGCCTCTTGTCCAAGAAAACGAGAATCTCTACTCATTTCGGGTTTAATTGAAATAGGAATTGATGCAATGTTTACGTATCAATGGGAAGAAAGGCAAAATAATTAAATTAGTGAAAGCTCAGAAACTTTAGTAATTTCAAGTTATTATTTCGATTTTCATAATTGTTGGATAAATTATGTTTACGATTTGTTTTCTATTATTTACACGTTTATTGAATCTCTGAATTAATTCCATTTCGCGTCTCAATAGGGTTTAAAGTTTTGCGAAACAAATCTCTTTGCATAACAGTAGGAACGATTTTGCCCTAACTTGCCTTACCTCACTCTTATCATGTTGAGGTTCAGAAGAGATTTGTGTCGTGCCAACGCATCATCACATCGAATACACAATTCTCATCTTCTGCTGCAGTAAAATCTTTGCCTGGTAACAAAAGCGAAGAACGCGATGACAAACAGGAAGTTACAAAGTTTGAGTTGAGCTAGTACTACGACTACAACTGCGTTTCCTTCTTCGGGGTCGACGCCGAATACTAAATCCGTATTTGACCTCATTCACAAATTGTGTCAGGAGAGAGAGAGAGCGGTCGGACCGTGGAAAACTGGATCCGGTCTGCTTTCTTCTTCTGTTTACAAATTGTTATCAACAAGCAAATTGTACAATAATTATGTGTACTTCTCAATTAACATGATATCAGTGGGAATTGTTCTAGTATTGACTTGGGCACAATTACGACGTATCCCTAATAATTACAATTCGCAGGAGGGCTTATAGACTTAAACATATACGAAATACTGATTGAAACACTGTTCTCCTTGGATTACTGTCAAAACTCGTCGACGGATATTACAATTCGCCAAGTCGAGAGAAGAAGCCCTGCAATAAAACTTTACAACAGCTCTTGTATCAAATTCTCGCTATAATCATGAGTAGTGGACTTATCGATGGCTTATTGTAGGATAAATGCTTACTTTACCGTGGTACAAATTTGAGCCGCGCACTACATACTACCTCATACATACTACGACGTCCTTCTTTTCTCAGATTTCAATTTAGATAGGGAGAAAGATTACATTTCTCCTCTGCCCGCACTGGATGATAAAGATTCGTTGTTGGAAAACGGACGTGAGAGAGCTTCTTCTTATTTTCTCTTCTCCGTGTCCACCATTTTTATTGCCGTGGAACAAAACCAACCAACCAACCAAGCAGGCCTTGATTTTCTACCGATGATGACACGACGACACGATATATACCTCAAATCGAAAGTGCCAAGCGAGCTTTATTGGTTTGCCAAATTCTTCGTCTTAGACATCCAAGCGGTTTGTAGTGTAGTGCATCTCGCATCTCGCTGATGAAACAAATTGTGAAGTCAGGTCAAGAAGTGCAGATTCAAGGGGCACATGCATGCGGAGAATGACAAAACTGCGTTCTAGAAGGAGAAAAAGTAATAATGTTTTTTTTCCTAGACGAGAATTTGCTCAATATAGCAAAAGCAGCGTGATATTCCTGGAGGAATATGTAAGTATACCATGTATTTTATATCTTTAATACGGATGCCAATAAAAACATGGAGACGACTACCCAAAAATTTTGCGACTTGGTTGAACCCTAAATGAATTTGTGCGACTTTAGCTCTTCTTGTCTGTCTGAACAACTGATCCTGCGAGTTGGTGGGTGCAACTAATGAAAGTCGACTTGGACTGTGAAATTGAAATTGTAAATCGTGAGAAATGCAACTAGGCGAGATTTTTGCAGCGATTGAAGAGTCCACGCTGTGCAAAATATGTGTTGAGCTCGAGCTGGTGACAGGATCTTTAAAATTGCAATTTTTCACGAGTTTCACCCATTCATAAAGATTTTTCTACTTTACAATTATTATTTGACCGGCACGATATGTGACGTTGAATTTATTTGTTGAATGTTTATTTCACATATTATTCTCCATTTTGATCAGAACCCCCAGCGAGAGACGAGATTTTTATGCAAAATTGTCATTCGGGTATGTTCACACCCTGTAAATCGCTTTAAACACGATACATTGTCGTAAAAAATTATTGCCGACCGACCATCCACACATGGAACCTAATAACTGTCAAAAGTTATAAATGGCTAATTAAGCGTAAAAGTCGTAAATTTGCATTGGAAAAGAACAATCACATTACACAAATAAATCTTAAATGTCATAATCGTTTAATTTTAATAAGTACAAAGCAGAATTTTTATGTATCTATAGGACAAGTTCCATTTATTTTAGCCATATGCATGACTTTTTGGTGAGTACCACACTGTCTGCAACAATAGGAAAGGACACGACACAGAAACTGGCAGACGTTGAGTTGGTCCAATCCTTATCATTTTATGTCAAATTACATGTAATAATCCTCCTCCTTCCCTCACCCAAAAGTGGCAGCAGGACTCACTCACATACTCATCAACAGTGGCCGCGGAAGCCGTGGGGACATCTGGGGACATTAACATTGTAGGATAGGTGAAGGAGGGGTTTACATAACATGAGCAGATGATGGGGACATTGTCCCTCTGTCCCGACGCTTCCGCGGCCACTGTTCATCAAGTATACCAACTTGCCTGTAAAACTCTGAGGATGAGTGGGATTGAAAACAAAGCAGCTAAAAGACGACGCATACTTAAATCTGGATGACAATGGGCTTCACTTAATGCAAGAGACAAGTTGCATGATAAATGACTCCACTATTATTATCATCAATCTATCCAGCCAGAGAGTATCAAGTCCGTGTTGTGCAGGGGTTGGTGGTGGTGGTGTCGTGTAGGGTGTGAGTAAAGAAGATAATAAACTTGGTATCATGTCATCGTGCCATAAAAATAGAACAATGGTAAACCATGCAAATACCAACTTAACACTGTCTCGTCCCATGAAGAAAGTGTTTTACACGTCCAACAGTCTGAGACATTTAATTTATATTGCAAATCTGTTACATATACATTCCAACTGCTTATTAATAATTTTTTTGTAGTGGTTATATAAACCTAAATTTTCTTATTGCTCTCATTTTGTCAGGTTCTTTTTTTGCAGTCACAGTTTAAGGTGCGAAAACTAGTCACTCATCCTCAGAAGCCAGATTTTTTAGTTTGATATCATTTTCACAATCAGTTTCAACAGTCTCATTTTTGTAGAAAGATCGAAAAGAGCATGATTACGCTGACGGATGCACTTCCTTTTTCCAACTGTTAACAAGCTCACTACTTCCCAGTTGCAAAAAGTCAAAATTGGAAATCTGGCTGTGAAGATCTTTCCTCGAAAAGGTTTCATTACTTTCCATCCATGTCATTCTACAATTGCAACGGAGCGATAGATATCGTCGAGTGTTGAAATGTGTCCAGTTTCCAATTTCGCGAGAGGAGCCCGGTTTATTAGCTTTTCTCGTTGTTTACGGGTTGTCAAATCAATGTGCCAATTGGCTGATCAAGTGCTAATAAAGAAGAGGAAAGTTCAGAGAGAGCACTTGCAGACAGACAGTTCCTGAGAATATTGCACATTTATTCCTGTAACTCGGTTTTATGAATGGCAAATATTAGTAAAATGAGGAAATGAAAGTTGGTCAAAGTCAGTCGTTCTTTAAACAAATTACCACCCGTTCATACCCAGATTTTTAAACCAGTGTGCAAAAATTTTATATTTTTCATGTAAATCGGTCCTGTCAACTACAGGTTCACGACATGGAATGGGTAGGAGAGACAATTTAATGGTCACTCACTCAAACTGTGCTAGTACTGAGGATTAGTTGATAAAATGTCCTCTGAAACGTATACTTACCTAATTATACCAAAGTAATTTGTAGCGCATGCATAATTCCGTCCGACTTGAATTGAAAATTAATTATTTAATTACTCGCGAGAATGTTGAGACGCTCGTTGAACAAATGAGGGCTGTCTGTGCCAAGTCATTGGTAATGTGATAGGCTTGTGTTGCATACTGTTTTGGGCGGCTGTGTTGGCGTTAGTGGCGGAGAACTAATGAGTGGAAATAAATACAGTGAGTGAGATTCTGTGAGGAGGAGGAAAGTTGCAGGCGATGTCTTAAATGATACATATATTTGTGGCTGTGACCATCTTTTTGCAGTCGAAATAAACGTACGTGAACAGTGTAAGCACAAATTGTTATCTAATGGAATATGTCAAATATAAAGATTTGATAAGTTGAAATAGCATTTTGATGACGAAATTCTAAATAAAGTTTTTTTCTACGGAATATTGTGGCTAGATATCTAAATAAGTAGCGGCATAAACGCATAAACTGTAGGTGCATCTGTTTTCCATTTTTTACCACAGCAGTCCTCGTGCCAAGCAAGTGCCAATTTAACGAGGCTGATTAAGCAGGAAAGTGTTGAGCAGGCATGCTGGTTATGCATTCTTGTCAAATGTTAATTGGATAGTTGGCAAAACTTGGAAATTTTATACCACGAGATATTTAGCACAAGTTTCAATAACATCTATCTGATCTTATCATGCACTTAAGCTTACACCAAGTCACAAGTTAAAACAAGTGAAGAAAGTGCATTCAAAAATTCTTGTCAGTCTGATTTAACTTGAAATTATGAATTTAGCTTAGTTTTTCATAAAAAGGTTAAGATTTGTCTAAAATGAGAATCCTATAACTGGATACCATTCCATGAGAATGCTGTGAATTTGAGACAAATCCGACATACAGATGCGAGTTGGAAAGAAGAAAGAGAGATGAAAATCAGAGCTCTCTCTGGCTGCCCGAAACAGAACTTTTGAAAACGCCGACGCTGCTTCCTCGTATGGCGAATCTTGCTCCGATGTTCAGATGTCGTACGTCTTTTGTACATCGTCTAACGCTGGAGGTTGCTTTTTGATGAAAATGATCATGAGAATTTACATCTTAGCATGACAATGATGATGACGATTAATGACAATATGACAATTAATTCACGGGCAACACATTCATTAAACATATATTACTTTATTTTGAGACGATAAATCAATACTTTAACTACAATACATATTTAGAAATTCGATTATCAATCAGTCACAAGCATTTTCAGAGATCACACTGGCTGGTTTCTACTATCCACTAGACGTAGTACATACATATATAATACTATAATAATTATGGGAAATTGTAGATACTTAAACTGAGAAGTATATATTATTTTCTTCCTATCGTATAAAAATCTCAGAGAAAGAAAGTTATTATTGTCCTCTGTGAATGAATGAAAACGGGCGATTGAGTGGTGGGCATTGAGTTGAGAAAAGTATTATTTATACATTTGACGAGATTATAAATAATTCAAACCGAAGCTTCATCAATGACAGTGATTGATCTCGGAGGAGGAGGTCTGTTTACCCACGGGTGGTTTCGAAATAGCGGAATTTCTCTCAAGGTGCTGTTGAATTTCTGTATGTTTCTGTGAGAAGAAGCCTCCCCGGACGTTTCCTGGGTGGCATTGACACTAGGAGAACCCGTCGTGGGAGTTGTGGGTAACAGATGCGAATGACTAGAAAGATTGGCGAGACCACTACTGGCAGCAGGTCCACCTGAGGTTGCTTGTCCAGGAAAGGGAATACTATTTCGGGACCAGCGTCGTGTCCTCTTGTCCAACAAGAGAGAAAAGTCGGGGTCGTATTCTGATTGGAGACAGTTTTCTACTTTGTTGCAGGATGTGATACAATCGCCGCCAAGATATTCGGCCCAATCATCAAAGTAAATGTCCTGAAAAGAAATTAATTAGATTTTATATGTATGATAGCAAATTAATTAGAAATTTTTAATTTTCACCTGGAAATCAATTTCTCCCAAACCCTCCTCAGAAATGCAGGTTAATTCCTTCGACATTAAAACCGGGTCAAGAATACTTCCTTGCCCATCACCAGATTCAGGTTTGGATGGATGATGTGGTGATATCGGCTCGACTGGAAAGGCGAAAGAAAGTCGCCGCATTTTGGGGGTTTGAGTCGCATCTGTGGTGCTGCATCTAACGAGGGAATGAAAAACAACGTGAATCTATTCATATTTACACGTAACCTGTCTCATTTTATGTTCATTACGTACGTTTTCATCGAGCTGCCATTTGCTTTTCTGCGAGAAAGTCGCCGTCTTCTCACATCCGTCAGAAAGAGAAAGGCAGATCCTAGAAACACGGCTGCTGCTGCTGTGTAATAACCCCACTTTCTCCCAAAGTATTGATTCAGAATACCTGGAAAAGTACATATCATAATATAATTTGTCCCCATTTCTGGAACGCTTTTTCCTCATAATAATTCCATAATTGGCGACGTTCTTCTTTTCGCACTTACTGATTAACGGTGTCCCAATAAAAATTGGTATGGCTTGCGAACTCTGGACAAAGGACCACGCTCGTGGAAAATGCCTAGCTCTGACTCGTTCATAAGTGTAAACTTTTAGGGCGTAGTTGTATCCACCTAGAAAGAATCCGTACGCCCAGGAAAAGACCACGTATCCACTGTAACCCTTCACCGCGGTGAAAGCTATGATTGAAATGCCGCATATCACGCTCGCCACCTTGTAAAATGAGAAAAAATAGGAGTGAATGATGTAGTACAAGACTTGTAGATTTTGCATAATGAGGTCAAATATGTACGAATCCCAAAACGTGTATGTGGCACGGAGGAGCTCAGAGAGAGCTCATTCATGTTTGATTACCTACCTGACATAGGTACTGCTTGGAAACTCGACACTCTTGGTTCTTCTGGATGGCAATAAGACCAAAAAGGCAGCAACCCACGACCCACGCTGCTCCGACATGGACGTGAAGTAAAACGAATGAAATCTCATCCACTTTCGCTTCTAGGGAATCCATGCCCTGCAAAACACGCAAACCCGTGAAAAGCAAAGAGAAAATGATATAATGGGAATTGTCATGTCAGGATGTGCGTTTATGCATGGAGGGTGGGTTTCCCGGAAGAAAAGATGCTGTTCGTATGTACTGCGGGATTTGGATAATAGACTGAATGAGATGGATGACTATGTACCAGAGCATATTTTTAGATTTTGTAGAAATTTGAGATATGAGATCGGCTTTTTTTCGAAATAATATGCGTATTTTCTACGTATGAGTTTTTATGTGGCACAAATTATCGTACTTTTTCTGTGTATGTAACTTGACATGTTTGGCACATTCGTAGTATCATGCAACTTGATATCTGAACGAGTGCAGTGCCTTTGTAAACAGAACAATTCGCACTTATCGCTCAAACTGTGACATCATCACTCAGCAGGAAGGACCCTCATATGGCATCAGCACAAACCACCGACTGTCGTAGGCGTTAATTCCACTTGAAGTAAATCATCACTTGTAAAACACATGGCAAACACCAGTATGAAATGAATGATAAACGACAAAAACGTCGTTTCAACATAATTTGAAACCTGGCATTATTTCATCTTTTCTCTCGCTCATTTTTCAGTTTTCTACTAAAAATCTATTTTAAGCCTGGACCAAAACATCGGAAACCATGATGTACGCAGTCTAAAATTGAAATTACGACAAATATTTCACACGTACAGCTGTAAATGAGATGGTTTATCATTTGTAGAAATGCAGAGTTGTGACATTTGTCAACAACACTTGACGGAATGACACCCTTGAGACCGGAAGTTGACAATGTTGACAAGAAAATGAAATGTAAGTGCTTTCACTTTCATCCATTTGCAAATGTTCTACCACCACCGCAAAAAAAAACCACGACCATAATTTTCTCCCGCAATGTGATCTTTAGAGTTTTGGCAAAATTTTTAGCACTATGCATTTGTTTGCAAATCTGCACTGTGTATAAAAGAATGGGCTGAATTTGGCGAGTGCACTTGCAATTTGCTTTCTCCTCCCATTTCCGATTATTGTAACCGTAACCCTAACCGTTATTCCAGATTTTGTCGTGTACATGTATTGTATTTTTTGTTTGACTGAGGAAAACTAGTGGAAAAACAACAACAGCATAAAACTTACCAACAAGAGTAAAGGGCTATTGATTCCGAAAGAGATAAAAGCGCTGGACAGTAAAAGTATCTGTAATGTTTTGCTCCGTAAACAGCTAAAGTCAAGAAATGGTTGCTTTTCTTCTCTTTTTGTTATGTCCTTAACCTGCATAGACTGAATGTAAGACTCACATTTTTAAATATTTATACTTTGAGGATTAGTCAGAAATAATTTAGAGAATCGTAAGGAACGTGTCACCTTCTTTTTCTGGTTCTGTACAGAATCGCATGTAAATAAATGATTAATAAATGGTAGTAAATTTTGATATTAAAAAATTATAAGATTGCAAACGTACCTTTAAATGTAAAATAGCTCTACGTTGTGGGTGATAAAGAGAAGCAGATCTGAATTTAAAGGGAATTAAAAGTTATAATTTATTATAACTTTTAATATCGATCTGCCTTGTTTTATATCATTCATATATATTTTATATAATATATCGACAAATATAAAACATAAAATATAATTCAATATAAAACTCATTCCACCTGCCTTGTTTTATTACAAAATGCCATTAGTCATACTTACCGATAGCAAGTTCCTAAAAAGAATGTGACGAGTGCTACCCCAGTTACGACTTGGAGACCAAGAATCCATCCCAGCGACCTGTAAATGAATGCAGATTAAAACATTCTTCTTTACATAATTTCGTATAAAATCAATTTTTTACACACGTGATGGCTGTATGAACTCCAGGTCCGATAAAAATTATTCCAACTCCTGAACCAGCAACTAGGACAATCTCCACCATTTCGCGTTTTCGCTTAAAATACTGGCCAACCATTAAAGTTGAGGCGTCGCGACTGAGACCCACGCCGACTCCTAAAATGGATGCAAAATTTATAGTTTTTTATGTTACAACTTTAATTCATGAGTTATATGTACCAACGAAAGCTCCATAACTGATGAAAAGTTGATGAAATTGAGACGAAAATGAGGTGAAAAGGCATCCCAGTGAGACCAATAGTCCTCCAAAGACCCCGGACAATCTTGTACTTTTCATTTTACAGAATGACACCCATACTGGCGAGAGAAATAGCGAAACTCCAATCGAGGTGGATGACAAAAGTCCTAAATACATCAAAATAATACCAATTGTTACATTCATCTCAAATTATTCATTTCTAATTTCTTCAAATTATTAAGTTAGCGAATTCTGTTTCCTCCAAGAACTGTTAAGCATTGAAAGGAAAGATTTTATGTACGACAAACTATTGACACGTGCAGCTTGAAACACGTTTGCACACTTTGGTTATCTGATTTACGGAAATTCGTGTCTCCTGCCAATTTCCACCCGTGCCAAATATCAAAAGAGTCACTCTAATGAACCGGAAGGCACAATGAGGAAGGAACTAAGATAGAGACCTGCTGTGATTTGTTGATTCTGGAAATACCCCATTACTTCAATGCAGTTCGCTATAGTCACCTTGTTCCAAACTGATATGATGATATTTATTTGATATGGACGATTTCCTAATCGGTATAATTAATTTGCTCCATTGCCTCTCACGAGGTTTTTGAAATCAGTTATTGATGGAACCGCAGATTGTCAAACGGTCCCCAATTAGAAGAGGCCTCTGTTTTCCGCGAGTACTCTTTTGACAAAAAAGTTTGAGAGGCTATAAAATGAAAAATGTGCTTCCTTTCGTTCTGGCAGAGTTGCATGATGGAGAAGAAATCTGTTTCTCTATGTAGGTCCCACCCAGTTCGTAAGAGAATGATTAATGCTGATGTCCATTCAGTCCAACCAATGAAGCGCATGATAATAATAATGCTTCAACAGTTGGCACATCGTGTTGAAGAATGAGTCGTAATATGTCAAGCGCTGGGAGGAGACATTAATTTGAAACGTTTGAAGCAAAAGTGGAAAGTGGAAGCGCACTTTAATGGAAGGCAAGCTTTTAAAGACAGGATTTAATTATTGTCAATTTTGCGCAATCCATAAAGGGAAATATGTAACACGGCATCACCTTTTGAGCAGCGAAATTGAGAATTTTGCATACACTTTGAGCGATTGGGTTATTGAAAACTCGCTGAGACGGAATTTCAATTTCAAACTGGATGACTACTGATACTTGGTTTCCTGTAATTTTTCCACCATGAAATTCTGTCACATATTGACATTCTTCACCATAATTTTCTCCTTGGGTTTAATCCTTGTAGTAAGAACGAGGAAAATGATTTATGGTTCTATTTCACATTTTTTTCGTGTTTTTTTAAATTTTATACTACTTATTCAACAATTTAACATTCGAACATAAATTCATAACATGATTCATTCAACACAGATAATCAGTAGTCGGAAGGAACAGTAAACTAAAAAGGTTTGGGTGTACATTCCACAAATGTTTGTTACAGCGAAGAAAAAAATTCATCGACTCACATTGCAGCAGATGTTGAACATTTGCTTCAAAAAAGACAAATACTTTGCCACTGGCAAAAAATCGGAAACAAAATAAGGATTCTGTTTTCAAAACAAGGATAAAAATGAGCGATTCACGCACATTTTTCTCCGGGGGTGACACCTCCGACATGTTTTGGCTACACGGAGCCATCATAAAATATCAATTTAGTCTAAACCAAATACAAAGTGGGCACGAAATTCCCCCTGACTTTTTACCCCATTACTTTTAAATAAACATGAAAAAAATATTTTACTGCATGCCGAAATTTTTAAAGTTGGGCAGACATTTCTCTGGCTAAAAATCTTTTCAAAATTGAGTAATCTCATGTGAAAATAAATAGTATTACAATATTCAAATGTGTGACTGCTTTGTTCGAATGTGAAATTTATATGGCCGATGACGACACAGTGTTGTAAATAAGTATGTAAATCCAAACGTGCACCTCCTCCACCTCCTCGATGGCACGTTTTGCAACAAAAAATAGGATTATCTCGTTGCGCTCTAATACCTTGTCTGAATCCGAATTTGGTGATAATCTTTGCCTTTCATCGGCACAATTATTAACGGTTGAAACTGTGATGAATAGTATGGACGAAGTGATATATTGGTTTTAAAGATACCTCAATTTCCTCCTGGTGTCATACTGTACCTTAAAAGCTTCAAAGTTTTATACGCTTGTCCTACTTTTTCAAAATCAAGGAAGAGGAAACTATCATCAGAAAGCAAAGTAAAGTGAGTCCTTGTGCAGCATAAAATACTCGTACAAGTAAAGAAAACTTCTTTAGTTGGCTTTCACTTTTGGCCAAGTTGGACTTGTATTGGTCAGGGTTAGTTGAGCCTGGCTGGAGGACTTGGGAGGAGCAGAAACGTACACCATCAACTTAAGTCGTGACCATCAAGTCATCAAAAGAATTAGGTGAAAGCGACCGGAGAATTTTATTATTTCACTCACTCCTCTTTCTTTTCATCTCGGTCGTTCTTCATCACAAAATAGCAAGCAAACGTGCAAACATTTCCAAAGATTTCCGAAAAAAACGATTAAAAAATAATTATGAAATGAGACGAGCTAAGCTAATTAGAAAAAGAAAGCTGCGGCTCCTCCTAATCAATTTGTCTTTTGGAAGACGTGTTTCATCATGAACGGCGTAATTTCTGCAATTGTCAAAGCCGTGGACATAAACCAGAGCCCTGAATCATAAAGTCTTTAGGCCGTATTTTACTTTTTTATCCACTGTTTTTATCCACACGGGAGCAAACAGTAGGCCCCACCAAACCAACCAAGAAGACGAAGAATGAAGGAAACTTTTATTATTCTTCGAATGAAAAAAACATCTCCAACTCAAGACCAATGTAATTCAACCAGCGTAAAAGTACTCTGACTGAGAAGAGGAGGCGAATTGTGTGTGATTCCTTGCAAAATTTTTGCACAAAAGTCAACCTCTTCCCTTTATACCATTGTCTTTGTGTACCACCAACTGTTTTGAGTGAGTGAGTGTGATCCTAAACTCAAACTGCGGGGGTAATTTAATGGGGAAGTGCAGTTTTCGCAAATACATCATTTTCTCCGACATGCTATACCGTCTCCAGAACTAGAGAAGAGCATTATTTTATCACATATTTCCTTGTCTTTTGATATGAAGAGATATTATATTTCATATCGTTTTAGATGATTTAATTGAAATTTATTTTACTTTTACAACTCTTTTCCTTAATGGGATGTTTGCTATATTTTAATGGCTTGTAAAGTTTGTTTGTTGTAATTCAAGCCGAGCAGGAGGAATGATAATGACGCATTTCATACCTTTTTAGCATTGATCAAACAAATATACGTTTGAATTCCAAACATTCTATGAGAGAGAATGATACTTAAAATTTCATGGCTTTGATAGGAAGGATAATAAATATAAAAATTTCCGTTGTACATAAATACCACTCAATAATTATTATCCCATAGATCACAAAATGCGCATACGCGATCTTCTCAGCCTGATCGCTGTAATGCTATCGCAATCAAAGGAACTTAGATTTGAAATCTTAAAAATTTAAAAGAGCCACCATATATGGCAACCTTGCTCATTAAGCCCTTAGTCTGCCCCCATAAAAGGAGTCGTCACATCCATTGACCACTGTGTACAATTCTCATTTGTTGAAATTGAAGCAAAAAATTGGTTAAATGCCTACATCAACCATTTGACGGTTGTAATCAAGCCAAATTTTAGCCACACATCTAATTGAAACAGAAGGACGAGACTTAACGAGAAGCCGCTTTTAAAAAAGATTTAAAAATTTGTACATGAATTCTTCTCAGAATGTTTGCCATGCACGGAAGCAGCAGTTTAACATCTTCATTATTTGTATGCAACGAATTATTAAATTGTCTGCTTGTTAATAAATGATTGGCAACAGAAAAAGCCACGCTGTTTTGCAGTGTCATTCATGCCAGGCTTATTGAAACAATGGTCAAAGACTGTTCATTTTCATGCGTTTGGTTTATGATTTTGTGTGGTTGGTTGGTTGTTATAATTTATTGGCTATATAATATTTAAAACGTCTTCATCTCATTTTTCTCCACGTTTACTTTTCACATGACTGATGAGACGAGATGATAAAGTTCTTCTACCAGCCGTGCGTCATGTCAGCAGTCGTCGTAACTGTCCACCTTTCTATCCGTCTGACATGGCGTGACAACCATCAAATGCACGCATACACGTTGTAAAATCCATTACAAATTAACGATGAGCGACTCAATCGTCGTCTTCTTGTCATGTCGCCGCCGCCCAGTATTTGCTTGTCTGTGATATTATTTAATTTTCCAATTTGACGTCGTTGGACAAACCCCTGTCAGCAAGTCCTATTTGTTACATTCACACCGATACTCGATTAGTTAATTGAGCATGACCAGCTAAATACGACACGTTCGTGAGTTGTTAAATGTATTTTCGAACGATAAATTTTGAAAAAAAAACATTCAATATTTTGTTTCGATAGGATGACAATTCAAATTTGCGTATATAAGAGGAGAAAATGGTGAAATATTGTTACTTGGAGTCAAACGAGGCGAGTACAGTTAGCATAAGAATGGTTTCTATATTTATGATGATACTCCGCATGTGGTAAAAGATTGCTGTTGGATTAATTTAATACCTGGGATCTACCATTTCATCGTGTGATGCAGAAAAAAGCTGGTAAGCAGGATTGACGTTTATTTTTCATGTACTTCGAGATCGAATACCTGACGAGCTGGTTGGTTCTCTGTGATGTGATATCAAGGCTTGGCTTGGCAAGCTTTCAATGGTCAATTTCATGGCTGAATAGATTCCCTCTTTGGCCACGTATTGACATGTGTTGCCTCATAAATCTGGAGTAAAATGTTTGCGACTTATTGGAGCATGACATGCCCATTGGACAATCGAACGGACAAGAGAGAAAGAAAGAGGTTCATCAGATAAAGATTTTGTGTGGGACTCGACAATGGCCATAATGTATAAATATATATCGCGTAATAACGTGATGCCTGTCAAATATTCAAATAAAAAACCAAGACTGAAGGATCCAAGTCAAACACAACGTCGTAAATATGATACATTAAAATGCAGCATTTTACAATAAATGACAACTGTCTTTGATGGCACGGACATATTCATTTTTTAGTATGGCCAATTCTGC